AGGCTGTTATTAGATATATCCGTCCGCGAAAATACACACAAATAAATATTAGATATCGCTTACGCTACATACGCGTTAGAGATCATTAACTTTAAAAGCACATCCCTTCTTTCCGGGGCCACACCCGTCTTAACGGATGGTAAACTAAGTTAACCATAACTTAGTTACAGTTTAATAACAACATATTTCAATAGATTTAAGAAAACGTGCGAAAGAGGAACGAGACATAGGATACATAGATTGCTATTACTTTATCGTTATTAGATGCAGATCGATAAACTTATGTGTGTACAGCTAGAGAAATTCGATAAAATTTATTTGTATTGAAAAAAAAACTAAGAAATTCGCTTATGGAAATCGTAGTCTTCTTTATTTCCCAATGTTTGGCGTAGAACATGTAGGATTCATTTGACTTTCGCTTCCTGAACACGGCGGGGGTAGGTTTATGAACGCAAGCTGACCTCCTTTCCATTTTCTGGAAAAGTTTACGTCCATCGACCGGCGGAAATATTCTTTTAAACAGTAGATGAGCGCATCTACATCATTCCACTCACATATAGCATACTCATATCCATGTAGAACTTATAGGCCCTTTGGTCAAACTGAAGACACCGTAGCTTTTGTCTTCATCGTTTTTCCTTTTCATAGTTTTTGTGTTACAGTAACACAAAGCTAAAGCAAATCTACTCTACTTACATATCTTAAGTCTACATTTATTTATGCGTCATCCTTAAGGTACGAAAAGGAAACAGAATAATCTTATATGAATAACCCATGTATAATAAATCATCAAAATAAGATAAAAATACTTCAGCGTCGTACTCTCTATGCGTTATGAGAATAGCATTTTTTTTTTTTTTTTTTGCTTAGAATGTTCTTCTGTTCACACATTAGCAGAATGGGAAATCAGTTTTATTGCAAACAATCATATAAACAGTCTTGAGAGCGTATTCCTTAATTTAGTTGAATTAAAAAAAAAAGGAAAAATGATTAAAAAATTCCTGCAAATAGTGATATTTGCTTTCTATTGGCTCTGCTTCACACCGTGGCTTTTCATTTGGGCTTACAAAAGACGCATATTGAACACTTCCCCCTTAACGATGCTGCTAATACGAGGCACTGCCCTCTTCTTCATATTAATTATCATCTACTGGATAATTCACTCGATATTCGAAGATTGTTATATGCGGGCAAAGATTCGTAGAAAGATACGTGAGGTGACGATAAGACAGCGCTTAGAAGCTTTAGAAAATGGCGATATTGAGCTCGAGGCAGCTCAGCGTTTAAGTACTTTTACACGCATCGAAAGAGCACCGAAAAAAGATAGAAGAAACACGAAAGAACAAGAACACAAGCTTAGCGAAGATGAAACCGAGAAATTGCAGAAAGCAGTTTCGACAGCAGCATTAAGGCCATCAGCTCCACCGCCACCTTACAGTGCAATTGTGATTGAAAATCACCCGTCGGAGATGTAATCGTGGGCCATGAAAACCAATTCATGTTAAATTATTTTAATAACATACATTTTAAATAATGAGTTTATTAAAATGGTAATAAAAAAATATATGCTTATGTGAAAGAAAAACGAAGTGGAATTTAATGAACGATTTGCCTGCTAATGTTCGCTACTTAGAAAAACCACTAAATACTTGAGCAGTATTTTTAAAGAATAAATTAAAATTCATTAAATTTATCTATTTTTTTTATTTTTTCCGGCAGGTCGGTTTTACAAGCTTCTTCAATAGAACACATTATGCATTGAATCCTTCGAAAATTTGCCTTGTCTCGTTCGATCTTGGAAAGGAACCTATTGGCTCGTCTTGCAAGGCCAACTCAAAGAACACGTCCCCAGCTTACAAAAGTGCTGTGAGACTCCGAAACCATCATTCGTTTTAGATTTACATTATGATCCAGAATATAAGGTTAACTAGGTGGCAAGGTTGGGGGGGTTGCCAAAATTACCAACGCTTATTGTCTTCGAATAGGACCCGCCAAACGAACTACTCTAATAGGGGTGGTTAGGAAGCCGAAGTGCGCGCACTTGAACGATGACATGCTGCAAGTCAGAAAACGTTGAGAGCGAGCACGCCAAACGGGAAGAAATCAACAAGCAGGTAGCTGGGTAATAAATAGAGTCAGTGATTAGGTTTAGCACAATTCGTAATGTGAACTCATTGAGGCCGGTGGCATTTCTAGAAACTCGAACGTCTTATTATTAAGCTCAGTCTCATTTGAAATAACGTAAACGCCATCACTTCAGATTTTTGCTGGGGCCCTAAACGTGGACTTAAGAAGCAAACGAAAAAGGGTTAGAGGACTTATTCGACCAACAAGCGCACCACTTGAATTCTTAAAGGAATTGCCTCAATTTTTGCAACCAAATCTTGAAAAAGATTTTTTTTGAAAAACTCTCGGTTCCTACATCGGTGGGGACGACTGCTTATACTTCACTTCTACAAAGATAAAATGAGACATATGTGTCACACACCAGGTCTTCATTGAAATATATTTCCGCTTCCCAGTTCCAACGGACTCCGATCATCGTATCGCATGTTGGTGTATAAAACAGAAAACAAAATTAATATACGAAAATTCGGTAATGGATATAAAAATAATACGGATTACTTCAATATATAATCTGCAAATGCGCACACAAAAAACAAAAGGAAAAACAAAGAAAAAAAAAAAAAAGAAAAAAAAAAAGAACGCCTTGACATTAAGCGAAACATTCACACAAAACACACATATAGCGAACATTATCAGAATATTTGAAGTCACCTTCACACAAAACGAAAAGGGTTTCCAAGCAAACAAACTTTGACATTAAAAATTACGTGAATGCGCTTTTGTTGCTATACACACATAATATACATTATAAAAATATATTTGTTCCCTACAAAGCTAGCACAAATGCTGAATCCATTCATTTCTCTTCCATAGTTCCATTATCCGTCCAAGTGAAGGGAACGGTGACAATAGATAAAAGTAATTTTTATACTGAGTATCCGAGATTAAGTATATAGTAATTTTTAAATCAAATTTTAAATCGATAATGCGCACATACATCACAATATATACCTAAATATGAGAAAAAGATATGACAAATATATGTATATATATATATATATCAAATAATTTATATATATTATATGACGAATGACTCATGGGATGTCTCCTACGCGCGTAATATGGGGACGGTCAGAGAGAACCAAAGTCTCGGCAAGCGCGTAAGAGTTCTTCTTAAGCACTTGGCTGTGCAATAATGTATATATGTTTTTGTCATAGTGATGTTTCGTTGAGTTTCCTGTCAAAGGGATATTAACATTGTAAGGGCTAAAAATCGTTCCCAGTTTGCAGTTCACATAGCCCACTGTTATCTGACAGATATTGAACCGACTTAATAATAAGCCAGATATGACTCAGTTAGAATATACTTTCAAAGATTTATACAAAGGCGAAAAATCAACTGCTCTCGAATTGTGACCGACCTATGGCACGTTTGGAATAGCTCATGTGTGAGTTCGCTCAAGGATAGGAAGCTCATGGTAATTTCCTCTTCATTACTGTAGTTCGTTGCAAAGGTCGCCTGTTTTCTCCCCCGTACAAAGCCCGTTGGTATTAAAAATAGAAAAACTTTTGTAAAAGACACTCAAATCCAGTAAACTTGTACCTAGCTTTACCCTTGAGGTCGATCAGATGGATATTCCGAAGAAATTGGATCATTCTCTCTACGGTTATGCTAAAAGGTGGCGTCGTTTTCTCTACAAGACTTTACCAAATTGAAAATATCAGCAGCACCGCCACCGCTGTTCCTGCTTTCGATTTATTAATCGGCTTCAGTCGATGAATTATTGGTCTAAGGCTTGGATTCTTAAAGCGACATTCAAACGATGGATACTTAGATACATAGCCTTAACAATCGATTGGTCCTTCGGCACGGAAACCATTATGTACCGGAAAAAGGGTAGCAATGTGTAGCCAATGATGAATTTTGCATGAAATTGCTTGCTAGTTAGTTAGTTGTTCAGAGAAAAGCAGTCATGACTTCTTCGTTTATAATTAATACCGGTTAGACTGCGTTTCGATAGAGCGTCACTTATCGAAATATTGAAAACAAAAGAGTTTGACGAGCTAAACTGGAACTATGTATACATCCTGTTTAATATGGGTAATATGAATTTTTTGTAGAAATTAAGTCGAAAATTTATGTTAATCATCTTTCCCCACGGCTTATTGATCTCTAAAATTCCAAAGATTATTTGTTGTTTTTGTTCTCTTTCTCTCCGCTGTGTGATATCTACAATTTCCTTGTACGCAGTGGGCCATGTACACAACGGACACGTCGCGGACGCCTCTATAATTACCCTTCAATAGGGTGAAGGATGGGATAACTTGGAACTATAATAGCTAAACCAATCAGTCATCTCTTTTGATACGTTTATGTGTTTTAAGCGCGTACTGAACGGAGGACTATAAACGAAAGTAATATTCTTACGTTCAATGTGCAACCCACGCGTGTAATCCCATCCGATACGTCTTTCCAGCACGCGCTAATATATATAAAATTCGCTTCCGAATGCCTGGCTGCTTTGTGAGGACCTTTTGAAGTTCCGCCGGGCAAAGTACCGCCTAAGAAATAGTTCTTGATTTATGTTTTGCGTCTTGAAGTGAATTAGTTCTTACGAATTGAAGATTCATTCAAAGGCGAAGGCAATTATCGTCGCCCGCTCCTTTTCACAATTTGCAGAAGATCGACAATTGTTTCCCTTGAGTTATATGCGACCACAAACCAGGTAATGGTTGAAATTCAAAAATGTATTCTCCCCTAGTTTATTTAAATTCGTTTCTTATAAAATATTTATTTTGCTACAGCAACTGAAGAATAAAAATATAAAGAAATCTTTTTTGATAACTTGTACGTGAATAATTTGCCAAAAAATTTATTTATTTATTTTTTTTGCAAAAGGAATTCATCCGATAAATCGAATTGAATTGAAATCATGAAAAGAAACGTATCTCGAGAAATCTTAAAAAATAATGAAATTAAATTTTTTATTCCACAATGCAAACTATGCTCTAAGCATGCTCTTATCATCAATTTTATCAACCACAAAAGAAATATTTCTGTATTATTCTGTTATACGGAAAGTTTATGAAACTAAGGGTTTGGACTATTTTGGTATTCCTGAACGAATTAGTTTGCATTTAATTCGCAATTATTAAGCATAGCGGGAAAGTAAACATTATGACGCGTTTCTCATCCCGTTGCCAATTACTACAAATTATCATTTTTTCTATTTATTGGTTTATACTCTTTCCGATGATTTGGTTCGTTTTGCATCCTCAACTATTCTCAAGTAATATTTTATGGTCTCTACTGTTTGCTGCTTTACTATGGGCCGTATACTGCTTAATATATGCATTAATTAAATATATTACATTCAAATGTGATCAGGATAATGCACATATTGATAAAGCTAATGATCAAGCGACGGAATTGAAAAGCATACATAACGACATCACGATTACTGACAACGACGCGAATTTAGTCGCAAAAGTTGATACATGCCCGGTTAAGAGGGATGACAATGGTGAAATCGAGTGCGGCGCCAGTTGCGGGGAAGTGACAAATAAACGCTTCGTTACAAGCTGCTTATTGTATTATGATGGCGAAGATTTTCATTTGTAGCCAAAAGTCAAGAAGTATTCACTTATTTTCCACTAAAACTTATTACAAATATTCCTTAAATAAACAAAAAATATATTTTCACAAGAAACAAGTAAGAACGTTATGTTCGGCGAGGACCGAATCTCGCATACCCACCACTATGCTTCTCGCATTCTACTCTTCAAGTGTTTTTATTTGATATCCATATCGCTGGTATTATTAAGAAAGAAGTAATCGAGGTGTCTATGATAGTCATCTTAAAATTAACCCGTTTTTAGTCAGATAATATTTGAGGAGTGTACAGAATAGTTTTAAACATTCTGTCTTGTTCGCGTTATAGTAAATAAGCAAAAACCTCGAAAAAGTGAAAAAAATAAAATTTAAATAATTGTAACTGTGTGTGGGCATGGCCGATTGTTTGCGACGTAAAGAGTAGAGTGCTTCGTAACGTAAATGTGAAAAATATCACCCTTCTAATGTTAATAATTTCCGAGTAACCAGCAAAAATCCGAAAATATTTGTTTAAAACAACGGAGTTGCGTTCAGTTCGTGCTCCACCGCGGGCTTCCGCTTTGACCAATTTGGCCTATTGTTAATACCAACCAGCGTGCAGAAACTTCCAATGTTTGTAAAAAGTTTGAAGTCAATATTTTTGTTTTTGCGACCACTTTGTTTTGTGCCAATAACAAACAACACAGACGCACAGACATTGCTAAATAAACTCCGAATTTCACACTGATGAGGATTATATCTACCTTAAAGGATCTCTGAAGCTTCCTTTTGGGTGTTACTACATACATTATGGTAAAAAATAAAATGAGTATACCCTCTTCCTATGGAGGTGGATATAAAGATTGAAAAAAATTTATTGATTGTGTGCTATGTGTACTTAGAAATGTACTTAATAATAAAATCATTGGCAACAAAAAACTTTTCATGTGTTTTTTTTTTTTATAAATCTCATATGTCAGGGAATGTCTCCTAAATAAGTGTCGAGTATGGTGATGATTAAGCATTTGTGATGAATGAATATAAAAAACTTTCAAAAAGCAATTGCGCAAATATACTTAAATGAAAAGCTGAAATATTTTCATTATTTTAAAAGCAAAAAACGAAAATGAATGAAACGAAATGCATGAGTAAATACATAAGTAATACGATATAAAAATAAATAAAGAAAAGTTTAATAAATTCTCGTTATGTATATAAATAATAGAATCAATGATGAGTAAGCTGCACATAACGGACTTATCTGTCGGCAGTGAATGAAAATCTAATATCCCCTACTTCGTCTTTTAAGCAAACGAATAACGAAGAAACTAATAACTAACTATCATCAGCATTGACGTAAATGGTTTTATTGTCGACAGTCTGCGATTTGATTAAATAAGAAATCGTTCCGGAAAATAGTTTGATTTTTCTCTTCAAGCTTCTTTCTGCAAGCCTTAACTTATACATTCCTTGATTTCTTAGCGAGGAAAACGCAAAGCGTCTTTTTACAGAGGAATGCATTATTTTTTCTAATAATTGTTTTGTTGTTCCATAAAAAGTTTAGTGGAGCGTATTCAGAATTCAAATCATACATTGATTGCAAAAAAATAAGTAAATGGCAGGGACTAATCTATCTAAAAATATTGACAAAAATAACAAAGAAAAATGATAGAAGAAGCCGAATAGAAGAGTATTGCGTCCCCATATGAACGGGTGATACGTTGACTACAAAGACCCCCAGCAAGCAACAAGGCGATGATATCTTCAGTGATCTACGCTTTGATTCCATATCAGTCATAAAGGATGGATCGGATCTACTGGCGTGGATCATCATTACAGCCTACCGATTAGGGATAATAAGAGGTAATAGTTTGTATTGACGACGCCATTGGCACCATAAGGGTAGGTGTTTGCATTGCAGATTCAATCACTGACTATAAAAGCGACTTGAAAGAGGTACTACATAGCTAACAAACGAGTTTTACTGGTACTTTCTTGCGGCCATAAGCACTATCGTCAACAAGAATTGGCTTTCAGCTATCCTAAAACATGCAGCCGTCAGAGCAAGTTGTTAAATTTGATATGAAACATTTGCGGGATATATCTTTTACGCAAAATTCAGTAAAATCGCAGGCAAATCCTTTGTTAGATTCAGTACAAAACTCACATATGTCTTACTGCAATCCTCAATGGTCATAATTGTTCTCATCCTAAAAAGAGCAATTAAATACTAAAACTCTAAGTGAATTTGATCCACCTTTACCAAAGCCGGCCAAAATTGGTATATTATGGCGAGTAAAACATAAATTGGTTTTGTTTACATAATGCAAAGTCCTTCTTTCTTCTTTCAAATCAACGGCATTGCCTTCACTTATTTCAAATGACTCTAATAATATTCCTTATTAATCACCAAGCACAACACCGCGACTAATGAAAAAAGTTGTCAACAAGATTTTGCTTTTCAAGTGGCTTTGGCGCAGTTTGACTTGTTATGATTTGTTTCGAGTCATATTCAAAGACTTTGGCCAGATGCGCTTCATGACCACGCTCTTCCCAATCATTTACCCACAGGCATAATAAAAATCGAAAATCTCGCTTTTCTATATTTACATTAGCAGATGTAACTCGGGTGCAATTCGATAAATCGACATGAAACTCTACGAAGATGTCAAAGGTAATACAACCAACGCACACAAAAAATAATTCATAACTTCATAGCAGTTTAGGTGAACAGTTAATCTGATTTTTCGCTCACAGTACTATAACTCGCATATATGAATTCCGTTAGCTATAATCCTTCCTGATTATTATCGTGCTTACAGGGTAACATTGCCTACTTTGCATAAAAAAAATCGCTGTGTCCAATGCTACGTGTGTGTAACATGCCTTGAATTTGTAATCAAGCAAACTATCTGTCTGTCATATATGACGAGAACGATTATAGTAAAAACTGAAGTACAAGCTTCAATTGAGAACCAAGACTAGTCAAGTTTGAAAGTAGCAGCCTTTCGAAGAAAAACTATCTTTTTATATACAAAGTTTACAAAAGCATTATTTGCAATTATTTTGATTATTGTGGCGTTACAGCAGAAGAAAAATCAATCTTGCTACTGGAAAGACTTTGAATAGGAGAATGAATATTGTGCTTATTGACTTATTTCTACAGTCGTAATTGTCTCGACTCGATAAGGTGGTGGCGTAGATATACGCCTCGCTTCTGCAATAAAAGAATTCCACGGTCAATGGAAGTGGCTGCTGCTTTTATGATCGCTTTTTAGGATATTAATAAAACTGGAGCTGTAGAGTGTTGAAGCGATTTCCAAATTTATTAACAAGTGGGCTTCATTTGCAAAAACTTCTGGTTTCGTGTTGCCGCTTTTGCCTTTCGTAAGCCGTCACATAAATAAAGTCATCCGATTGAGCAATGGAATGACAAATAATTTTATTATTTGCTTTGGCTGAGATGTTAGCCATAATCCAAGATAATTGACTACATAAAAACAACTATTTGAAAATATATATGTGTAATTAAATAGATGTCACACTAAAATTTTAAAAATTGTTACAAAAAACTAAGTAAATCTTTATTTAATTAAATTAAGAAATACTTTTTCATACATCCATAAATATTAGATTAAGCTCTCTATTCTCTTAGGAAGCGTAATTTACTACAAAGGAATGTCCCAGTTATGTGCATTACAGCGGAGAGTTTAATATGTACAAAGAATTAAGAAAAAGGAGAAAAGAAACAACTTGGGCAACCGCATTACTAGCGCAATAAACTCTGCGGGTTGCAACAACAACGCAAATTCCATGTAAATAAAAATTTTAAATTGTGTGATGCACATACTTACGCACTGATGAAAATGCTTGAAACGATAAAAATATAACTACATTGTACACAATTCCATGAACGTTGACTTACAATACAAGATTATGAACCATTTATTGGGAAAGTAGGATAAGTTACTTTTGAAAGAAAGAGAATCATATAAATCATCAAAACTTGCTCATGTTTAACGGTATATTCATCAAATCAAAATCGAAAATAATAATCTAATCAATACGTCCTTCTCTACACGACTAGTGATGCAGGTTTGTGCGGATGTATGTAACACCCGGAAATATTTAAGATATTGTCCATGTATCTTTGGGATATTTTTTATGAAATTGATTACTTTGACGTGTTTTGAGTCACAGATGAAAGCTGTTATGAGTAGACTGATTCGGACTAGTTTCTTAATATGTCTGCAAAAAACGTATCAATTGGAAAAAAATTGCAACTCACTTCACTAGAAATAATAGTATTATGGTGAATAGGATATGTATAAAAAATTGAAAACGGGTGGAACCATCATTCGACACACTCACGATTCAGGCAACCGCTCCTACGAAATGTGTGCCAAAAAAATCAAATATTTATATATATATACATACATGTTAATGAAAATTGTTCGGTAACAGTGACATTAAAGTTAACCGTCCAATATTTGGGCCGTAAAGGTCTATTGGTTATACCCCGGCCCTTATGCGAGTTCTTATAAAGTAAGCGTATATTTTTTTTGGTACTTTATGGCAAAAGTGGTTGAGCCTCAATAAAAGCGATGAAAAGAGAATTAGTTTTATTAAATTTGAAGCAACGTGCGGTTCAGGCCCCTGTCGAAAGTACACTGTCACGATATAATTTTTGGCATTTTTTCAAGAAAATAAACGAAGAACTGCTTTAAGCGAGATGGCATAGAGTATATTTTAGAGCAATGCTTGTCCGCAATTAGTTCAGAACATAGTGGAAAAGAAAGAGAATAATTTTTTAATAAAAGCTGAAATAAATATATTCGAAGTGTTGTCTTGAATTATTTCAAGTATTCTTTAATGAGTCGCAGCCAATGGACACATTTACATAAAAGAGAGAAAGCAGCACAATTCTGTAGATTATATTATCAAAATAATCACTAGTCTCCTACTAGGGCTCTCCCTCTCCCTCTATCTCTCTCTCTCTCTTTATATATCTGCTCATTTCGTACAGATAGCTTCTGAATGATGATGTCAACTGTAAGTCAGCTAAAACAATTTCATTTGAGTCTTAAAATTAAGTCTGCAAT